ATTGCTTGTATTGAACGATGTTGTATGAATTTGCGATGCATATAAATGCCCGAGTAGAACCCCATGCGCCTGGATATAATGCCTTCCTTTACGCCTTCCTTTACACTTGAACCATAAAGTCAAAATAATATTGCCTAGTCACTTCCTACCTTGCGTCTCTACATTTCCATTCTCTCTGTCACAGGGGATTCTGAAGTCGTCTTCCCGTGTTTCTTCGACCTGTCATAACATATGAGCCCAAAGAAGCCTTCGGATGTGCATGACGTACTGGTCGGGGTAGCTGTGGGTGTTGGCTTGGGTGTGTGATGTGTCTTCGCAGGCGGCTCGTCACCGTCGAGGCAGCCGCCAAACCAGCCTGGATACTTGCACGATGAGGTAGAGGTAGGTGTCGCCGAGGTTGTTGTGACAGTAGGTGCTGGAGCAGGTGTGGTAGTGATTGTCATGGTTGTAGATGTCGTGTCCTCATCTTTGCAGCCAAACCAACCGGGTGTCTTACACGTCGAGGTCGATGATGTCGTCGTAATCGTAGTCTTGGTGTGTGATCTGGTCGTGGAATCCTCGTCAAGACAGCCCCACCAACCTGGCGTCTTGCAAGTTTCAGTTCTTGTGCGACTGGACCTGGTTGATGTTGATGTAGCCGTCGGCTTTGAGCTCCTGGTAGTGGTAGTCTCGGTGCCGTTGCTCTCAAAGTACTCCCACATATAGCAGTCAGTGCAATCAACGTAAGCCTCACATTTAGGAGGCGCATCGTACTTGAGTATAACGTCTCGGATGACTTCGACAATCTTGTGGGTGCCGATACCCATGCGCCAGCCGAAGTCTTTGACTGTATCGTATACACATTTCTGCCCGGTGTGACAGACACTCTGCAGAGCATATCCGCCAATGGTGCAGGCGCTGGTGGCCTGATTACACGCTCCCATGTATATGGGGTCTGCGGTATGTCCAAAGTGAAAACCGCCGGTGAACTTGCGCTGCTGTAGCGATCCGATTTGGTGGCCGGGGGGCACGGGTAGCCCGAGACGTGACGCTGGCATGGCTTCGGGCACAGCCTCGAAGGTGACGGCCGGATGTCCAAATGTAAGAGAAAGAAAGGACGAAACAGAACCACCGAGGGAGTGTCCGGCCATCCAGATCTCAGCATCCGGATATAGTGCTGTGACATTGTGGTAGAGGTCCTGTGCAGCGTAGTAGTAGCGGTTCTTCTCTCGCAGCGCAGTGACTAGACAGGTAGAGTTGCAGGTGTAGGCCGACGTTTGACAGTCACAGACCTGTCGCCACAAGTACTGCCCCCCCTGACCGCAGCAGCAGCTGAAGAACAGGTTGTCGTTGATCTTGTCGTTCGTAGTGGTTTCGGAACCGTCGAACATGGCAGGCGACGTGCCCTTCAAGCCTATGACGACTGTCGAGTTCTCGGTGTCGGCGAAGATGTGCCCGCGCAGACCGTCGGATTCCCAGCCAAAGTCTTCTGTGTAGTTGAAGCCGCCGCCAACAGGCTCCCACTCGCCCGTGCCGGGTTCGAGTATGTAGGCGTCCGAGGCCATGCGTGCGAAGCTCAGGACGGTCTCGCGGTCCGTCACGTTGGGGCCTGCTATCTCGTCGATAGTCCAGTCTTCTTCCGGCAGCTCCACGCCTCTCCCAGTGATGCGGCCCCATTCTAGTATGCCGGTGATGGTTTCCTTGCTCCTATCGGCCAGGCGCTGTATGCTCATGGCCTCGGACTTGACGCGCAACCGCGGCACGGGCTCGCGACTGGCCGCGTCGTCGTCGTGGGCGGTCCATACTGCGGCGTGCTCTGGAACATCGAGTCGCCGGTGCAGCTCGGGGTATTTGTAGGTGCCGTGGTGGAAGATGTGGCGCAGCGTAAAGTCCTTGTCGGCGTGGGGAGTGACATGCGGGAGAGGCGGCGGCGGCATCACGGGCATGTCGGCCGCGCTCGCAACGCTTGCGGCGACGAACGACAGCAGGAAGGAAGCGGCCACGCGCGAGGCGGAGGGGCAGGGTCTTGGGCGTCGCATGGTGGATCTATGGTTGTAAGAGAGGGAGTTGCAACGAGCAACCTGCGCAGAGGAGGCGTTAGCAGGCGCCGACTGAGATGGCTGCCTCCGTCGGACATCGATGACGATCGATGGTTCACTTGACCCCAGGCCCGCCCAGCTCCTTTTCACGTGCGCGCCGTGCGGGGAGCTCCCCATAGCTCCATCACCACCAAGACGGCGCCTCTTCGCCCTGTCGCCCGCTTCCGTCACCCGCTAGTAAGCACAATCGTTCAACACATTGCTCAAGTGCTCACCCGCGACTTTCGGTTCCCTCGGAAGTGCCGTGCTGCCGCATGACGTGAACGCATGCGCTTCGTCCACGCACGGTTTCACAGCAGCCTCCTTCCAATGCAGGCACACGACACTTTTAGATTTCCATTAGACCTTCTGCAGCAATAACACCATGGCCGACCGGCCTAGAAACTTGCATCCTTCACGCTCCTTCACGCGCCTCGACTCTGCCCCCAAGAGCCCCCTCTCGCGCAGCCGAGCGAATACGCTGCAAGGACCGACTGCGTCAGACATGCTCGATCCGCTCAAGGCTGCCATGGTGCCCGAGGAAGACGAGAACCCCGACGGCGACGTGTTTGCAAAGAAGGAAGACGAGGACGAGGACGAAGACAGCGAAGAGACCAAAGTGCCCGACACTTTCGAGGAGCTGCCTATCGAGATCCGTAGCTTGACCGAGAGGTACCTTCTGCTGCCCATAGCATGCGTCGTCCTCTGATAGTAACACCCTTAGATTCCTCGAATCCCTCACAGCCAAAGTGCATCCCACCCCTCTGTCCGCCGAAGCTCTCGCCGACCTCTTCCAAGACTTCTACGGACGCGCCTCCGCGAAGATAAGCACACACATAGCCACTCTCTCTGCTCGCCTAACGAGCGACAACTATGTCGCGAATGCGAAGAAAGCGTCGGCTTCGTCGAGCAAGCCATCGTCGATAAGAAAGGGTAGCGACCCGTCAGGGGAACAACAAATGCTCAGTGCCACTGAAATGGCCGACCGCAAGAAAGCGCGCAGGTCGCTCGAGCTCAAGCGGTTCGCACTAGAAGAGGCCGTCGAGCGCGCCGTATGCGAGAAGGTCTACCAGAGGATATGGCGGCACAGGAGTACTGATGACGAGGAAAGGGATCATAAACTCAGATCACGCACAGCTGCTCTCTCCCTCGTCGGCATTGGTCTAAAGGAACTCCTGATGACTGGCGAGGAGTTGACCGAGGAAGAGCGCCAGAAAGCCAAGGAGAAGGAGCCCGAGATTCGCGAGTACCTATCTGCAGCACGCGAAGACATCCTGAAGATGAATGAGGAGAAGTACCCACTGGGCAAGGTCCAACATTTGACTGCTGCACACAAGTCCATTGTCGAAGCTCTGTCCAAGATATTCCCTTCGACCTCGTCTGCTGATGAAATCCTGCCAACCCTCATTTACGCCCTCATTACTATGCCACCCGTCAACTTGAACGTAATTAGCGATCTAAACTTCATCCATCGTTTCCGCGGTTCAACTCGCATGGATGGTGAAACTGCATATTGCTTGGTTAATCTCGAGGCAGCCATCTCATTCCTGGAAACCGTCGATCTTTCTTCGTTGCGCGCCGACGAAGTCACTCCCGCAAAACCAGATTCCAGACCTTCAACTCCCAAATCCGAGATCACCCCAATGTCTCTTGGACTTTCGGATGCGCCAGATCTCATCCAGACCCCAGCCACGCCCATCTCCAAGACAATTCCCAAAGAACCCTCCAGCCCAACGACCACTAAAGCTCAGCGTCGCTTGAGTAACCTTATTCAAACACAGACCAACAAGATCGAGGCCGCCTCTGATGCCGTTCGGGACTCGATTCTTGACTCTGCTGACCAGGCACTTGGGAGAATTAACAACACCTTGGACACCAGCTTCAAATTCTTCTTTGGTGGTCTAAAGGAGAAGAATCCCGATGGTCCTGTGCAAGAACAGCCAGTACTTCCCAAGACACTGGAAGATGCAAGGAAGCTCGTGAGCTCCCCAACTCGCGCAGAGCGCGATGAAGACAGCTTGAGTGTCAGTGCAGCAAGTTCAGTGCAGGGTGATGAGCCAACAGAGGCTCCAATTAGCAGAGGACTCGATGCCAAAATGGCTGATCTCTTTGCTGGTAGGAGGCAGATCAGAGATCGCAGCGTCGATTCTACCAAGTCCGGCGGTAGCAACAGTGGGCGGCGCGTTGCATTCGCCCCAGGCCAGAGTGTAGAGGAGAAGACACCGTCGCCAGCTCCGATCAAGGCAGATCCTCCAACACCGAGCAACACCTCCGCGGTGGATTCTCTGCGCAACATGGGCAACAACTTCAACCCCTTAAACCGCTTTCCCAGCATGAACGTACTGCCTCGCTTTGCGCGCGCTGTAAGTAATAATAGCACACCTGTTCTCCCCTCACCGGGCCAGGAACAAGCGAAAGCATCGCCTTCCCCAGAACCACTCAGTCGTACAGCCACGAACGAGTTGCCACCAGTAGATGAAAAGGGTGCAAGAGCGATCGCGGCTTTGGAGCAACTAAAGAAGACCACACCACCAGCGAAGCGCTTTCTGGAAGCCAAAGATGCCCAGGAGTTGAAGTTAAAGGAGGTTGACGAGCTGTTGAAAGAGTATCAAAGATTGGCGGGTGCATTACGAGGAGCAATTAACTACTGAAATACATCACATATTTGGTTGCAATGACGTGCATAAACATGCAAGACACGAAGCTTTGGTAATAGATTTGTCTGTGTGGATTTGAGTAGCATAATGTAACGTCCTGTTGTTTCGCGATGACGGTACTTGCAACATACATACTGCGCCGCAGATGGTGGTTGGGGTTCGGCCAAAACGGGGGATACCGGATGGGGAAGGGGCAACCAACGCGCACGGACTGTAAACAAGCAACCACAACACACAATTGCGCGCTCCGGCGAACACCAGACACCGCATTTCCCGAATCGCAAACATGGCGGAACCAATGTCGAATCTTTCGCCGGAAAAGCTCAATACTTACTCTGACAACATCATCGTCGACGATATTGATATGGCGTACAACGATCCGCCCTCGTCGCCTTTCGTCGAACACATCGGAGTCCAAGACCAGGAGAACATTGCCCCTGGAGCAGCAGCCACACCGGTGAAGCCGCTAATAGACTTTGAGGACAGCGTGCCCCAATCCGCTTTCAGAGTGTCTCCAGAGAAGAAATTTGGGTTGAAGGAGCGCACAAGCCCAATGAAGACACTGCCAGCAAAGAATTTGATGGACGACTTTGAAGACCCGGCACTTAAAACTGGCAGTGCGGATCGACAGACTCCCCAGAAGAACATCTCGCCCATCAAGGAGATTGCTACCGAGCGACGCGGGTCCGCAATGAGTAGCCACTCCTACAAAAGCCAATCGCCCTCGAAATCGTCACGCGTACCTTCGCCCGAAACGGTCCAGCGCAAGCCAACCCATACACATCAGCGGCAAACATCGGTCACACCGTCAAAGCGACCGGCCTCTTCTCACCAAGAGTCTCCGCTCCGCGACAACGAGGGCTTGACTACCGCGATGAAGTTCATGGAGGATAGCAACTTTAAAACACGCGAGACACCCAGAAAGCGAACATCTCGGGGCCACGAATTTGAAATCGATCTGAGCATGGACAACACGGACTTTAATCCAGACGGGCCAGAGCCAACATCCTTGGACATCGATGATACCTGCTTCAGCAACTTCTCAGAGATGCCGGGGATCGATATGACGAAATTCGCATCCCTGAAACAGAGCCCAACAAAGAGCAGCATGCCAGATGTAAGTCCATGTGCTGTTGATCTCACGTAGGATACTAACAGTTTGAAAGGCTACACCTCACGCTCGCCCTCAAATGACACCCTCTACGGTCCGCCGCTCGGAACGCACTCCCAGTCCCACGCCACGGCGCGCGTATAACGATAACGATACCACAAATTTACTCTTGGACTTTACCGCCCAGATTGAATCCTTCTCTTCATCCCGCCGTGCGTCACCCGGACGCGGGCGCAATTCGCCTAGCAAGTCTATTACAGAGCCAAATCTCCGCTCCTATTACCGAGACCAGCGATCGCCGGCCAAGGGTGGATCGCAAGTACCTGCAACACCAAGCCAGAGAAGCCAAATGTTGAATTTGTTGGATTTTGAGCTGCCTCCACCGCCTACACCACGATCGCTACCTACTGTCACCATCCGAGAGCTTGAGTCTGTAAAGTCCCAGTTTCAGTCTCAGGTGTCGTCTCTCACCGCCAGCTTGTCTGGAAAAGAGGCTGAGATCGACGCTCTTTCCAAAGCTATCGCCGATGCTGAACGCCGAGTTGGCGAAGCCCAAGAGACCGTCCGTGACGAACGCTCAGCTCGCGAATATGCAGAGACACAAATGGTTGACTGGAAATCAAAAGGCGAAGAGGTCCAGAAACTGCTGCAGGACGTCCAGGCTGAGATGGCACGCAACGACGCTGAGCGCGAAGATCTCCTAGCGAGGTTGGCCGATGCAGAGAAGCGTGCTGATGATGCAGAGAGCCGCTCGTCTGAGCTTGAAACCAAGGTCATCGAGGCTGAAAGCAAGAACGTCGACATGACGACTTTCATCAACAACGATGACGGCGATGAGAACAAGAAGGTTTACTCAGAACTTGAATGCCAATCTGCTATTGCCGAGAAGGTCAATGAGATTGCACGCGACCTGCACACAGCCTACAAGGCTAAACACGAGAAGAAGATCAAAGCCCTCAAGGACAATTACCAGAAGAAGGCCGACGAAAAATGCAAAGAGCTTCGGGCGCAGATTGCTAGTCTCGAAGGGCAAGTGGAAGATGCAGAGAAGAAGCGTGACAACACTTTCAGTAGGATCAATCCAGGCCAGCATGACTCCAGGGACCAGAGCCAAGGAGCGTCTCCCTCAAAGACCACACGAAACGCCGAAGACGCTCAGATGCTAGAAGCGCAGAGAGCTGAAATCGAGAACCTCAAGGCTAGACTCGCCGGGCTTCAGTCGGAACTTCAGTCTCTTCGCAAATCCCACGATACCCTTGTTGAAGACCTTGAAGCTGAGCGCATCGAGAAAGGCGAGCTCGTAGCGGCCGCCGAACAGATGCTCTCCATGTGCGGAGAAAAGATGGAAGAGATGCAACAAGAAGACCTTCGCCGCTCACAAATGGCTTCCGCACCACCTGCTGCCCCCCAACAACAAGCGCCGCCTCAGCAAGCAATGCGCAACACGGGTTTCCTGGCCGGTGGCCCCGGTGCCTCACGCCCCGGATCCGCACTGGGCGGTGGACGTCCCGGCAGTGCGATGGGTGACCGTTTAGGTGCCATGAACGAGCGCACCGGCAGTGGAATCGCTAAACCATCAGGACTTCGCGCACCAGGTGGCCTTAAGTTCCAAGGTGCTCCCGGTTTAAACCGGAGTCAAAGTGGTGGGAAGAGCAGGTTACTGTCCAACATCGAGCGCATGGGTGGGGGAAAGGCACAGGAATAGAATACCTGGCCTCCTATTGTACGTGCTATGAAGGGTCTTGGATACGAGGTACCGGTCGCGAGGTTGGGATCAGACTTGGGTATATGGAGATCCCAATGAAAATATGGGGTCAAGAGGGTGTATTTCCGGCGGTGTATATTGGAGTCACTTGGTTACGATGATGACTTGGACGCTGGCGTTGTTTGGGACTCATCAGTCAAGCTCTTTCGTGTCTATTGTTGCCCGCTATCCATGTTGAAATGTATTTATTGTGTTTCTCAAATACGTTGGAGCGCGAACTCGTGGTCATACCACGCAGGTGTGTGCAATCGAATCTTCCCACCAGTCTACGCTCTCACCAGCCATGCTCATATGTCTCATCCGCTCTCCAGTTCCCATAAACCTCAGCATTCCCCTCAAGGAAGTGTATTGGCTTGTTCCACCTAGGAGTATCGCCCTATTTAGATGTATCTAACCTTTTGCGCGCTTTCGCGCTTTCGCGCTGTCACGTGACACATCGGGATCCGCCTAGCGCACATCACACGAGTTGCTCAGGACTATCATCCTAATCTCATGACACTTACATCTACATAGTACAAATATACCTGCGACCATTTGCTTGTCTACACTCCATCCAAAGCGTCCACCATGGTCCGATAATCGATCATCAACGCGATCCTTGAGACGCGTCCGTGCTAGTGACTAACGAAATGGTCACGTCATGTCGTCAGCCTCTCCACTACGACATTGAGTACCGCGAGAGGCTTTTTCTTATGTCATTTACTACCGTCATGACATAGCCGAGGCTAAGCACCGCGTTGTACGCAACTATGTGGATGCGGGTAAATTGCATGTAGCTGGATGTCTGGGCTACGTGTGATGTAGCCGTCGAACAAAGATGCAATTTCATCATAGTAATATGCGAATTGTTGTGACGGAGCACTGACGACATATACACGATCCTGACCTCGAGATCTTGGCATATAAAGTGCTCAGTCGATAGGTTACTGGTGAGCACAGCAGCATCTTTCTAATCCGAGACGACTATCGACCTTATCACATATAAATACCCGTCTCAACCCACTCGCACAAACCAAGCAATGTCTGGCAACGACAACCCCGGAAACTTTGCGAACCGTCCCAAGGACGAAGTCAAGGCCGCAGCACAGAAAGGTGGAGAGCACTCCCATAGCGGCGGTTTCGCATCTATGGATGCTGACAAGCGTAAGTGTACATTTGTATACTAAATAGCTAGGATTGACATGACTACAGAACACGACATCGCCTCTATGGGCGGCAAGGCCTCATCTGGCAGCTTCGAGCCTGGCAGTGAGAAGGCTAAGGAGGTTGGCAGGAAGGGTGGACAGTCTTCTTAGATGCTCGTCTGTCCCTCAATCTGGCATGACTGTAGCAATGATATTTCTCCTGGTTTGCACCCAAGAGGATGACTGTGGAACCTTGAGTAGTCGCCAATGAAGTAATTGTAATAAGTATCAGTGCACGAATTCATAAATGTGAAGTCTGTTTAGTTGCGAAAGTGATCAATTGTTTGCAGTGTTGCCAGTGCTCTACAATGTGTCCCTTCAGGCTCTGACGCAGCCCAACCGTCATAAGTTATGTGCGTGAACGTCGTGAAGCCTCCCATGTGTGACGAAAACGCCAATCCATCCCGAATCTAGTGTGTAAAAGTTTGGAAGCATAGGGTGATCCCCACTGTGCTTTAAGAAGAAGTAAAACGTATCCCAGCGTTCAGGAACATGATGAACGAAAGTGAAGAAGTGAAAGATAAGGTATGAGGAAATATGGACTTAAACCGACACACCTAACCGTACATGTCGCAGCTCATCATCTTGATCTCATACTCGCTCTGGCCCTCGACGACACCGCAGTTAACGTCCCAGCCTAGCTCGAAAGTGTCGCTCTCCGGCATGCGGTCCTTGGCACCGGGTGCGCAGTTGGCATCGGGAGTATAGTACGAGACCTCCATGGCAGGAGCAGAGTTCCAGTCGCAAGCATCGACACGCTTGTAGAAAGTACGGCGATGCATGCGCAGAGCCTTGCGTTCAATGGCCTTGTTGGCAGAATCGCAAGCGCAACGGGCTGCGAGAGTAAGCTCGTCGCGGCGGCACTCACAGCTCGAACCGTCTACTGCATAGCGGCGGGTGTTCGCCTTGACCTCCTTGTGAGGACGGTTCCACCAGTGACCACGATCAGAGTTGTCGCTCTGCTCGGCTGTGGGTGTCTCTGTAGCCTGGTATTGCTCGTAGATGGTGGTCGCTACAACGGTGGTAACGACAACAGCCGGTGGGCCGTTCTCAACAGGAGTAGGGGCCGGTGGCTGCTCGTATCGCTCACCATCATCTTCTTCCTCTTCGTCCTCAGCAGGTGCCTCAGGCTGTGCGTAGGTTGGCTCGGGAGTCTCTTCGGGCTCAGTCTCGGAGTAAGCGGGTTGTTCGGGCTGAGTTGCAGACTGTGATGGTTCACTGGGCTCACTGGTATCGCCAGAGCCAGAGCCGGAACCGGATCCACCGATGTGGACCTTGGCACAGTTTTCGAAGGCCTCGTGCTCACGGTTGAGCCAGACCCAGATGAAGATGGCATCGCCTTCTGGCATGTTGGTGGGGACTTTGAAGTCGAAGGTCTGGGCCTCGGGAGATCCATCCTCGGTGGCATGCGGGCAAGCGCCGTGGTATGAGGCGGCCATCTTCCATGTCTTTCCCTTGTCGGTGGAGAAGCCAACCTGGCAAGAGCCTCCGTAGTGGGTGCCGCCAGGTGCCTCGGGGTCGTAGTCGTAGTCGGTGAGTTGGAAGTAGGCGTCTTGACCAGGCTGCCAGGTAACAGTGGCATCCTCGGTGTCGAACTTGTCGAGATGGCCACGGCAAAGGCCAGGAGAGGGCTTGCTGTCACCGCCATCGGGGCCGCAGCAGCCAAGCGGATAGTTGAACTGTGGATCTAGCTCCGTAGATTGTGGGTTGATGGAAGGAGCGCCTCCTAGAGGAGCTGGGTAGTACATGGACATATGGGCCTGAGCAGCGCCAGCCAGGGCGAGAACAGAAAATATGTTTGTGTACATGGTTGAGTTTGTTGGTGGATTCGTAAAGACCGTGTACGTAGAGAGTGACTTTTGGGGGGTTATCAAATGAAGAACTTCTAGACTTCAAGTGCTGGTGCTCCACAACGGTGGTCTGTTGACAATGTTCCACTGTGAATACAGGAAGTGTATAGAAGTATTTCCTATTTAGCAACAAAAAAGTCCAGTGAGTAAGAAAAAGACGACCCAGCGTTTTCGAATGCAAAAGAGTGAAGTGTAGAATGAATGACGACGAAGGCTAGCTTGTCAGGAGGGACTGTGTGTCACTGGAAGTGATGGCCTCTTCCACATCGGGCGGCTTTCATCCTTTATATCATCTGCTGACGACTGACCAAGACTACCGTCGGGCTCGTCTACGTTCCCGTTTAGCACGGTCACTCTCAAGCGCCTCGAGGCCGTTGCGGGACCAGCATGCTAGTCGAATTTGCTCAGCAGTGGCATCTCCTGACCAGGCCGCGGCCAATGTGCGTCAGGCCAGCTCGCGTGCGTGCGGATACGAAGTTGGCCTTACTGTTTCGAAACAGCGAAGCGCGGGAGTCTGTGGGGTTTCGGAGCAGCTCCGCTCAGCACCGCAAAGGTGTTTTGTCTGTTCCTGGCTGACGAGCTTCGGACTTGGTTTCACGTCTTGCTTTTTCGAGCGTAGCAACGGCGCTTGTTCCTGCCAAGGTCGTTAGGGCGGGGGAATCACATACGAGATTCTGCCTGCTGTTTAAACTCCATCTTGTGATGATTAGCAAAGAACCCGAGGGCCCTTGTTTCACCATCAGAGATCTTCAGAATTCTTCGGTTCTCGGGCTGACGTGCAGGGAATGCATCGGCACGACATCAAAGTCATATCGATAAGATCGCTCGCTTCATCTAACCACGTGCGCGTGATAATCCTTGCCGATATTTGCTTTCACTGTAGTGTTGTCTTTCCCATTCTGTGATTGTTCTCCGTTACGGGCTCCGATGCTGTATACATGGTCGTCAACAAATGCGGCGCTGCGCGACACAATTTGCCACAAGATGCCGTCGAAGCGGGCTGCGGCTGCCGTCATGCGACGCCTGCCGCCTTTCGCAACTGTTATACCTGAGTCTAGCTTTTCACCATTTCAACTGGCCGGGTGTCATCGTGTACCCACAGCAGGCTGCAGGGGAGCTTGGTGACACGCTTCCAAGCATCCGTCCGCACCAGAACTGGCTATACAGCCTCGGGAATATCGGCACTGGGCATCGAAGGCGGCATCTAGGCACGACTTCCAAATTCAGTTTTGTTGGACGCAGCGTAATACGAGGAGGGTCTCCTGAATAATGTCAAGACTCTGGCAGGTTCCACGAGGACTTTCAGGAGAACGCCGCTTGCTTGGCCGCTACCATGGCATCGGCTCTCCTCGCCGTGGCCTCAAACCGGGCGTCATCGTCAACTGTGACAGAAAAGACGTGCCTGGGTGGCATCATCATACGGTACATTTGACAGCATCCTGGTTCCATTTCACTGGAAACACCCATGACCCGAGAAAACCGTTTGTAGCATCCCAGCTCCTAAATTACCTACCCCGTCAATCTCAGCCAGACTTCTGATATTGCAGAATCCCGCGCCATTTTGGACCAGCCATTCGATGGCCCAGGCTGACAAACACAGACTTGCCTTGAAGCGCCTGGTGGGACAGCTAACGAGTTCCACCAACCCGAGCCGCCCGAGTGTTTCACCTCGACACCACCTAACTTATCGATTGGAGAGTGATATCTGCACGGATACCTATCGCGGGCCGCCAGTGTGAGTGACAGGCGAGATGTTCCTTGTCTCTCTTCCCCGGGTCCCCCGGGACACCTCTTCACTAGAGCCCACTTTTTATACTCGACTTGTCTACCGGGGCGTTTGTGGGATGCCCTGGAATCTGGTGTGAGCCAATGACATACCGTAAAGCCGTTGAAGTAAAAAAGCAAA